CAAGAGCAACAATTTGTAAAAATTACTTATGTAAATTAAAGTCTATGGTTTGTTCACTTCACACTTAGAACATCTCAAGGTATTCATTTTTAATTACCTTCAAAATGAAATCTAAATGATAAACCAAAACTCTCATCTCTCATCAGTACCATCTACAAGTGTATATTCAAACTCACCCAAACTGCCTACTTCTCTTTTTTTTTTCCCAGAGACATTATGTTTGTTAATGCACATGCCCGTTATACATGTTCTTTCTTCTGCTGGGAACTACCTTTGTCTGGCCTTTTTGTGGATAATATCTTCCCATGTTTTAATAAAACTATCATGTGACATTACTGACTGGGTTAGAGTCCCTTCCTTTTTTCCATGCTCTAATCTATACCCTCACATAGTATTTATGGCTTGCATTTTATCTCTCTGTCTTCTTTATTATATTCTGTTTGTTAAATGAATGACTAAATGAAGTAATGTATGTGAGATTAACGTAAGGATGAAATATTAATTAAAAATATGACCCTGGAGCTTAGGTACCATAACTTACATAGAGACTATTGTGTTCATTTATTAACTCTCTGAAAAACAACAGCAGCAACTGAGCATTGTATGGATGATGCTTAGAACATTCCAGGCACTCAGTAAATATAAAAAACAGAACATTTTTTCTAAATGTTTATTTATTTTTACAGAAAGATAGAGTGAGCACACTAGAGTTGGGGTTCAGAGAGAGAGGGAGACAGGATCCAAAGCAAGCTCTGCGCTGACAACAGTGATCCACATGTGGGGCTTGAACTCACGAACCATGAGATCATGACCTGAGCTAAAGGCAGATGCTTAACGGACTGAGCCATCCAAATGCCCGAAAAGAAAACAATTTTAACATTAACCACAATGAGAATATACAGAGAGACGATAAACTTCTGTAGCACTTCACAGGAAATAAAGAACAGCTAGGACATAAAATGTAACAATTTTCTTTATTATCTGAAATGTGCTGGGGAAGCTATTGATATTTTGGTTTTGGTAAAATAAAAGGTAGAAAAAGACATTAAAGACAAGGAGAAAATGAGAACTGTGTTTTGCTCCAAATACTTAATAATGATTATGTGCAATTCTCTTTTAATGCCAGACATTTTGTGATTTAGTGTTAGTTGCTGAGAATGAGTCTATGAGTAAACACATAATATGGATTCTTCCCTAACAGAGCTATACTTTTTAGAACGTATAGCTATAACTCAATGTGCATCTTTGGTGCAATAAAAGGTTCTATTTCTTAGACATATACTATCACCATAGACACTAAAATAGAAACAAATGCAGCTTAATGAGGCAGTTGCTCATGGAGGATTTGGAGAAGCTATAGCCTAATTTTCCATACCCATTATTTGCCACAGAAGTTATGAATATGATTACTAAAAAGTAATCATCTAATAATTACATTCAGTATAAGGAATGGGATGAGTAAGAGTTTTGTTTATTCTACTTAAGGACACGCCTGTATCGGCAATTTTATACTCACTCTAAGACTACATTTACAAGTATATGGAAATGATATTATTTGAGGGTAACTAGAAGGCCCCCAAATCCCCAGGTATTTTATTATATGTTCACTGATAGCTGATATTCTTTAATTATGCACAAAATTAATATTTTATGATTTCATATATGGAAATAAATGCTAATATCCTTATTATATCTGATGAATTGGCAGCATAGCCAACCATTCTGGGTTTCAGTTTTTATTTAAAAAAAAAAACAGATAAAGCTTACCTAATAAAGTTGTTATAAAGAGTAAACAACATAAAGTGTGTGAAGTGCTAAGCAACTCCATGTAATAACATATTTTAACTACTATATTTACTTTTGTATCTAAATATTCACCACCAAATTATTCCAGAAAATAGGCTTTGAACATGAATGGAGGAGAGGGAAAATTGAGGCACTTTCAAGTGGTAGGAAAGGGGATTGGGTGATATGCATAGAGTTGTACTGAGAGTTGAATAAATGGAACCTAGCTCCAGAAACAAACTATGAGAACATTAGAATTGTCCTGGAACTGCCAGGACCCAGATGATTTTAGCTTGTTTCAGTGTTATATTCTAAGTGAGGTTATTAAGTACTTAGGAGCTCAACTTTGTCATCTTGTAAAATGGAATAATAATATATATTTCATTAACTGATATGATGGTCCCAAAGCCCTCATCAAAAATCACATTTCATTGAGTTGCTTTCATAATGAAGATAAAATTATTATCAAAGAATCATGGCCATAAGCAAAGAAAATAATACATAAATTGTATTATTATTATTTTCATGATAAACTTGCTCAGAAAGGTGGTTTGCTAGCAGTATATTGTGTCAGGCAGAACTAGTGGTCGGCAAGTTCTCTATATCACCATCTACTAACATTGGAGTCTGTAAGTACTGAAAACTTTGATGACAAATAAATGACTTACCCATGGTCAGAGCAAAACTGGGTTGCTAAATCAAGTATTGGAAACCATGACTTTGTGGCATCAGGGCACTCTGGGTTGTTAATTCTTTCTCCCTGATGTTTCCCTCTACTTTCTTCCATTCCCTCACGTCCTCTTCATCTTCTCTCTCTCTCTCTCTCTCTCTCCCCTCTCTCCCAATCCTCTGTCTCTCCCTGTCTCTCTCTCTCTTCTTTCAAAGACAGCGTATTGAGTGGTGGGCTACTGACATCTAAGTTGTAGTGCAGAATTTGGCTATCTGTAAAAAGGTGGCATGTAACCAATATGTATCTCACTAACTTTAAGCCCATCCTAGAACAGAACATGGTATAGAACACAAAAGAATTTTTTTAAAGGTCAAGTTCAGCACCTTTAAGGTTTAAGTAGAAAATAAGATAAAATAAATATTTTCCAGTAAAAATTTAATAAACTAGGATAACAGCAGATTCAGAGATTCTATTTAGCAAAAATATCCCACTGCAGCAATATTCCATATCTATTTATAAACACATGCTCTTTATTTATCTAAGGAGTTGTTTCTGCAACCTTCTATGTTGCTTCCTAGATTTTCAAAAGGCAATTTTTAAAAATCTAACATTTTCAAGAAAGTATTTGAGCTATTTTTAAGAGTTAGCAAATTTCTAGGGCCTAGGGAAACTAACTGCAACTTCTCTCCCAACTTTTATGGATTTATGCCTCTATTCTAAATGGAGGCTCAAGAATAAGGTTATTTTCTACCCAGAATGTGAAACCCTGAAAAAAATGTTTGATTACACTGATACAATTCTAAAGTAAACCTGGGAATAAATATATACACATTTTACAGTACTCTCTTTAACGGGAAATTACTCTTTTTTCTTTGGCTGAAGGGTTTGAAATGCTTTTTATAGAACAAGTTTTTGGGGAGATAACTTTTGGGTACCCAGGATATAATCATTAAAAGGTAAACGCATGTTTTTAATAGCGGTATATAATATGGCATTTACATTTTACTTCAGATTTCTATACCTCATGCTTTTGCTACATAAATATAGTAACAGTGTAATACAATATTTCAAATAACAATAACAGTTTGCTCTTAGTGGAACCTTAATGCCAATCTCTCAGATATACTTTTCAAATTTTATTTATTTTTCTTTATTTTTAAGTAATATCTCTCTTTCTTGCTTTATTTTGGAGAGAGAGAGAGAGAGAGAGCGAGCACACAGCAGAGGGAAGGACAGAGAGGAGAGAGAGAGACACAGAATTTGAAACAGGCTCCAGGCTCCGAGCTGTCAGCACAGAACCCAACACAGGGATTGAACCCATGAACTATGAGATTATGACCTGAGCTGAAATTGGATGCTCAACTGACTGAGCTACCCAGGCACCCCTCCAATTTTATTTTGTTACACACTTCAATTTAGTAACCATGATATATTCTGTAGTTAAGCTAACTTTACTTAAGCTGGGAACTTAAATTTCCTTCTACTTGCTTATTTTTTTAAATCATTTTTCTCTTTTTTAATTATATAATTCCAATATTCCAGGAACGTTTTCCCTTTAATTTTCTTAAATTAGGATTAAATAGAATAACCACAATATCAAATCACAATATGAAAGTCTCTTTCCATTTCCTCTGCTCAATTTTTCCCTTTATTTTTGAACTAGAATAGTTCTCATGGGCCATTTCAGGAACAAGTAGCTCACCAAAATATTGACTATAATGGCTATAAAATAATAATTTTTACCAGTCTTGTCTGATAACATCAAGTCAGGTGGTTAAATATGATATTTTAAAATTTTATTCTATGTTATGTCAGTTCATGTAAAAAAACGTTTTGTCCATGCAGTGTTTTTTAAAGAAATTCTATTTCTTAAGTTTCATTGAAAAATTTTAACAAGATAACTTACATACCTGATTTTAAAAGCATCTAATAGTACAGAGAAGTCATAATAAAACAATCTGAAACCAGTCCCTAATGTCAGATGTTACTGTTGCTTTTAGTTCTTAAACGATCAGTTCTAATTTACTATCTACTATACTTGAATCACCTTTTGATTTATTATCAAAATATTCTTTTTTCACTCTCTTACCTAAAATACATAGCTCTAGCTTCCTTGCTGTATCCCCACTCCTCTTTTTATGTCTCTCAATTCAGTTGTAGTTAGTCTCTGTTTCCATTGATCAAATTTGCATTTTCAAATGATGTACCAAAACTTTCCTTCCTTTTTCCAAACTCATAGATATTTTATCTTGACTCCCCATATTGTCAAATGTAGATATCTTTACTTAGTCTTTTCCTTCATCATCTCTCTTCCACTATTTTCTTTCCGATGTCACAATCTCAGTATTGTAAATAAGTTTTTGTATTTCCAAGTTAGAAAATATTTCCATTATATTTTAATTCATAGTTAAGTCTTCTAAGATTGATTGGTCTGTGGTTTTTGTTTGTTTTTCTGTTTCTTTGGGGTTTTGTTTTATTGTTGTTACTCTTTGTAAGTAAAAACCTACTTTAAAAATCTAATTATCATAACTGTAATTGTTTTCAGTAAGAAGTAATATGCTGTGTAGTGAAGAACTGACTTTACCCAGAGAGGAGTCTGGTCGTTGCCCTTGGCCACAGGGAGGATATCTCTAGGATCATGGAAGGTTATGCTTGATAGGAATGTCTTGGTTTGAGGGAAACTTTGTCCACTGCAGTCTAACAATGTGATGTATGATGGACACATTGTGACACATCATATAAATCCCCACCTGCCAAGAACCTGAAGACTCAAGCCATTAGCCGGAACCCCCAGGCTCAGCCACACAAGCAGTATGCAACCAAATCCGAATAAACTGTGGACACCAAAGTCTTGAGTGACCTTCTCTGTTTGGCAATTCTCTGTGTGTACGGTCCTCATCAGAGCCTGGAGCAGGAGAAGGCCACAAGGAGGAGACAATCAGAAGCCCCATGTTTGGACTCCCATAACTGTCTTTTTCCTCCCTTCTCTTGGTAGATCTTAATTGTATCCTTTCACTATTCTAGAAAACAATAATAGTAAGTAGAGCACTTTCCTGAGTTTTATAAGTCATTCTAGTGAAATATTTACCATGAGGGCGGCTGTTGAGAACTTCAAATTTTTAGGTGGCTGGTCTGAAGTAAAAGTGTGGTAGGGCTCCCAAATTTGTGACTGGTGTCTGAAATGAGGGTAATCTTATAATAACTGTTTCCTCAGACTTTTAGTTTGGCTAAGCCATTGCATATACCATAATAGCATTTCCTTCTTTGGGACTCCAGATTTTGCTGTTATGCTGATAAAACATGACAGTTTCAATTTTAAATGACTTATTTTACCTACATTCCATGAAGTAGTCCAAATCATAACACATTATGGTTTATTTTTACTGTATTGGGATCAACCTTTTTATATTTGCTTTTTATGAAGTTTCTAGTTTTTGACTAAATCTTATATACTGCATAGGTTTTGTCTGGAACTAGTTTTATATAGATCTTACCTTAATTTGTCCAAGCTTAGACCTGAATTTAAAAACTTTCCCTTCCTTATTTTAACTACTCATTTTGCTAAAATGCTTCATTTTGCTGGAGATAAATTTTGAGTCCTTGCAAATATGAGTATGATTTAAGCTGCCCTCATCTTTTTCTGATAATTTTAACTGAATATAAATTATAGATTGGAAACCATTTTCCCACTGGATTTTGAAGACTTTGTTCTACTGTTTTACTAGATATGTCATATCTTTTCTCTTACATTGTGTATCTCTCTAATATTTGTTTATTTTGGGGAGAATTCTTGGCCTTATCTTCAGATGCACTAGTATATTTTCTTGTTTGCTATTTGATCTCCAGCATGTAGAACAGTGTCTGATATAAGTAGGCAAACAATAATATTCATTGACCTTTTAAAGACTGGGTTTAATGTTATTTTAATATATCTTTATTATTATGATAACTTTATTAGGCAAATAAGATATTTTAAGTTAGAAAAAGTTAGACTTCTTATAAAAATACCTGTACTTTCTTCCATATTGTTTATTTTCTTAGTTAATTATGACATCTATTTGTAGTTATTCTCCTAGAACTACATCCTTCAATTTGGCCACATTGCTGCTTTTAGAAGATTCTTTTTAGGGTTTTAGGCCATTTAATTCCTCATTTTTAGCAATTGTTGTTACTCTAACAGCACAGTTTTACAGTCAGAAGTTATATGGAGCATGAACGTTTCTATAGTAAACTGTTCTTGGATTTTTCTTATTATTACATCTTTAAGTAAAATGTGTTTTAAAATAGAACAGAAAAATCTAAATTCTACATGTATAATCTCAATAAATAAATGCAATTAATATATTTATTCATTCACTTAAGAAATATTTAATAGTATGTGAGTCAGAATAATATATTAGTATCATAATAATAATATACTATTTATATACTAGGGGTAGAAAAATGAATAAAATATAATGATTAGTTATTGTATTATTAACTATATTAGGTTATATAAGCATATTTGTATACATATTTATAACATACATGTATAACTTATATAAGCATATACAAGTTATGAACTATAAGTACAAGTATTGTAAACATATTTAATTTTAACATAATCATTGTAATTTTCTCAAAGAAAGAAATTTCAATGCCTTTTGGAGCCTATAACAAAACAAAAAGTAGGACGGTTAAAATGTCAACAGCATAAAATTTGAAATATTTTATCACATTATTTGAATAGCCATTTTAAAATGCTATATTCATTAGAATCCATCATCCAAGGTGGTAAAAGTGTTTAGAAAGCTAACTATTTGAATTTCATTACTTCAGATAAGATGTGGTATTGCAGATTCAGCCTTATGTCTTTTTTTACGGTTAAAATAATAACCAAATAAAATTTGAACAAAAGAAAAATGCTCTTGTCTATAAACATATTGTCATTTAAATAGATGCTACACACATAGTAGGTTCTCTATAAATAAGCAATGAATTATTAAATTCAAAAGTTAGATACAAAAAAGAAATTGAGTTGCATAGAAAAAAATGACTGTGGAGTTAAAAGTAATCACCATACATAAATATTTACATTAGGTAATTGTGTTTCAAATTCAAATTTTCACAGAAAATTAAAATCTCTTGTCACTGAAAAGGGATGTCTCACTTTGTATGCTTGTGGGTATGCATAATACTCAAATAGGTTTTTAAATAAATACTTGTGATTACAAAATAATATTTACTTGTAATTTGGGGCATTTCCTAGCACCATGAACTATTTAATAAGGAAAATAAGAATCTACTCACTTCCAATAATCAGGTAAAGTAGTGTTTATAAAAGGAAAATATTCTAGCTAAAGAGTGTATATTCTAATGTGTTAATTATTATACAACTCGGTCACAATATAGTGGATTGTTAAATATCAGTTTTATTTTTAGTAAATGTAAAAGAAAATATTAATTTATAGTAATAATAATCATCATCACTTAGTGCTTTTGAAAGTATATAAAGTAATATCATCCCAATTTTCTTATGAAAACAAAAATTAAAAACAATCTGATTACATTTATGATTGTAGAATAACAATACTCCCGGGAAAGAAAAAGTAAAAAAGCTTAAGTTTTTATTTCAAAAACTGATTGAATAATTGGAAAGAATGTGGGGTAACTAAACCTAACAGAAACAAAAATCAAGAAAAAGGAGAAACAACTAAAAGAGATGAGCTGACATTTTGCAAAACTTTTTTTTTCCCTCTCTCAAGACATCCGTCAATTATGGACAATGGGGGGGGGCTGTCTGGGTGGCTCAGTCGGTTGGGCATCTGACTTCGACTCAGGTCATGATCTCGCAGTCTGTGAGTTCGAGCCCCACATCAGGCTCTGTGCTGGCAGCTCGGAGCCTGGAGCTTGCTTTGGATTCTATGTCTCCATCTCTCTCTGCTCCTCCCCTGCTCACTCTCTGTCTCTCTCAAAAATAAATAAACATTTAAAAAAACTTTAAAGAAAAAAGAAGGGTACCTGGGCGGCTCAGTTGGGTTTGGCGACTGCCTCTGGATTTCGCCTCAGGTCATGATCTCCCGATTGGTGGGACTGAGCCCTTGAGCCCTGAGCTGGGCTCTGAGCTGACAGCATGGAGCCTGCTTGGGATTCTCTCTCTCCTCTCCTCCTCGCTTGCTCTCTCTCTCTCTCTCAAAATAAATAAAAACTTCTTTAAAAAAAATTAGACAATGGGAAAAAGTTAAGGATTTGGGAAAGAGTCCAGGTAAAGAATTGCCACTAAGAGGCAGGAAAATCAACACAGAAATTACATTCTTTCTGTGCTTCATAAAACAAAACAAAACAACAACAAGACAGCTACAGACAAGACATTTCTACGATTCTATTGAGAAGAAAGGGTGGGGAATTGAATTCAGTACCCTATCAATTTTCACAACATTTTTCTTCACTTCTAAACAATTCAGTTCTGAAGTCTCCTAGTGTTGAAAGTTAAAACACTAAGTAGATAGTCCTCAATAAAGACAAAGCTTAACAATTTTGTGATTCTGAGGAGAAAAAGATTCATTTTCAAATGCAACCAGTGGGACATACTTCACTAGTGATCATCTCAGATTCTCAGAATGCGTAGAAGTCTACACTCTAGGAGAGGAGCAGGTCCAAAACAGGTCTTTATTATTTCCAAAGAACTTAAAGCCATTTCATCTCCTGATTGAAAAAAAAGTAATCTATCCCCTGTTCTTTCTGCCTGAGTAGAAGGAAGGCTGAATATTTCTAGTGAAAGATATAATGAAGCAAGTCAATAAATTCTGCAAATATAAAGCACAAAATTTATTTTTAAAAACATGTTATGCAAAGAGACAAAATAAAAAAGAGACAGACGAAAACTAAAATTCAAAAAAAAGCAAAAAAACAAAAAAAAAAAGAGGTATAAACAGAAGACTCAGTGGTAAACCTGACATTGTAGTTATAAGAACATCTTTAAGATAGATATAATTAGAATATGTTAAATATAGGGAAACTATATAATATGGAAATCCTTTCTCGACAAATGATTTTTACAATAGAATGGACACAGTATAAAAAGGAATTAGTGTTTGAAGGAAACTAAAAAGTCAGAGTAATAGAAAGGATTCATGGTGAAGCAAACAAAGAAATAATAGTAAAAATCCATAAAAGATCATAATTGGTATATGAAACAAAGTTGAAAAGTCTAGCTTACTTTTAACTGTAGTCCCAGAAGAAAATAAGAGATTGAACAAAGCATATTCAAGATAGATAAACCAAGAATTCTCCCAAACCAAATACTAACATCAAACTACAGGTCAATAAATTCTGTATATTCCAAGCAGTATGAATACAAAGAAATCTACATCTTGGCACATGATAGTCTATAAGTGAAAACCAAAGATAAAGAGAAAACTTTAATAGCAGATATAAAAATCTAAACATTATTGTTGTAGGAGCAACAATATAACTGATGGCTGATTGTTTACAGAGTTGTGGAAACCAGAACCATGAAAAAATATTGCCAAATGCAGACAAAACAAAGTGCTGAGAGTATTATGTCCAGAAAAAAAATATTATTATAAGTGGAGACAAAATAAAGATTGAGAAAAACTAAAACTAAGGAACATAAGATTATCACACTTGAACTTAAAGAAGGACTAAAAAGAGGTTTTTATTTGTTTGTTTGTTTTTGTGGATAAAGTGATTCATTCTAATAGAGGCATAAGAAGCAGAAAAAAAATATTTTACTTAAAAAGGTAAAAGTTTTGGTTAAATATACTGGATATGACTACACAAAATAATAATTATAATATAAAGATTAAATACATATAGAATTAAAATACACAGAAACAAAAATAAAGG